AATATGTCCAAAGTATGTGAGACAAAGTCTTGCCATCCTTACTTCTAAGGAACATTCTGACTGTACTTCGTCCAAGAAAGATTAGTTTATTATTCTGGCTCACTGCTACTACCATGGATTAAATTCTGACTCACAGGGATCCTATATTCTTCTCGCAGTATATTCAATATTCTTCTCCAACTCAAGGCATCAATTTTTTACTCTTCCTTATTCAGTGTCCAGCTTCACATGATATGAGGTGACTGAAATGACCATGGATTGGGTCATGCTCACGCTAGTCTTCAAAGTGATATCTTTGCTCTTTAATCCTTTAAAGAGATCTTGAGGAGCCCTGGTGGCATAGTGGTTATGCGTTGGGCTGCTAACTGCAAGGTCAGCAGTTCAAAATCACCAACTGATCTGCAGAAGAAAGTTGAGACTTTTTACTCCCATCACGAGTTACAGTCTCAGAAACCCACTAAGGCAGCTCTACCCAGTCCTATAGGGTCACTATAAGTCAGAATCAACTTGATGGCAATGAGTTAAGGGAACAGATTTGCCCAAGGCAATATGTCATTTGACTTTTTTGGCTGCAGTTTCCATGGGCATTGGTTGTGGATCCAAATACAATGAATGCCTTGACAAAGAGTGAGCTCCTTTACACAAGGGGAAACTGAGGTGCAGAGAGAAGCAGAAGCAATCAATGTCCCAAGTGCCACAGCAGGGGAGCGTTGGGACTAGGACTCAAGATCAAGTCTGGCTCTAAGCCCTTTTGACCCTTAAATGGGCTGTTGACAACGTGGCCAGCCTTCTGCTGCAGCTGATGGTGCTGGATTGACTGTGGCTATCGCATGTTGAGCATGTCATCCTGTGTTGTGACTGCTGGGTCTAGGTTGCCATGGTCAGCTCCTGAGCAACACACAATGGAATGTCACCCAGTCACAAAGAGAAAGGATTCCTATTGCATGCCTCGACATGGATGCACCTGAAAAAAAGACACGCTCAAGAAATAACCCCCAACCCTCCCAGTCAATGCCAACTCATAGAGACCCTCTAGAACAGGGTCGATTTGCTCTTGCGGTTTACATCTTTATGGGAACAGACTGCCTCATCTTTCTCCTGGGGGTTTGAACCGCCAACCCTGCAGTGAGCTTAACCCAGTGCAACCCACGGGTGAAAAAAGTTCAGTCACAACAGAGCCAAAGCAGCATGATCTCACTTATGTGAAATAAGGACATATCTAGAAACTGATGATGACAGAACAGGTGCCAGATACCAGTGACTGTTGAATCAGCAGTGACTCACAGTGACCCTGTGGATGGCTTAGAGTAGAGCTGTGTCCACAGGGTTTTCAATGGTTAATTTGGGAGGAGTCAATTGCCAGGCCTTTCTTCCAAGGTGTTCTCCTCTGAGTGGACCAGAATCTCCAATCCTTCAGTTAATAGCCGGATGGGTTAAGGATATGACTACTAGGGAAATACTGGCCCTGCTATGTACCTTCCCAGCCCTGCTGGTTCCTTCATAGGGCCACTGAGATTTGTCTCCAAAGGAGCCCTGGTGGGGTCAGGGGTTAGCCATTGGGCTGCTAACAACACGGTCAGCAGTTTGCACCTACCTCGGAGGAAATGTTAGAAAGAGGGCTGTTTTGCTCTGCTCCACAGGATTTCTAGGAGTTGGAATCAACTCAACGGCAGTAGTGTTTGGGGGCCATGCCCCCAGTGCCTGCCTGACTGCTCCAGTGAACCGGGTGTCATACTAGTCCTGGCAGCCGGATGGCTGACACATCCAAAGTGTGTGTTTCCCCCAGGCCCAGTGACCCAGCCAGGCTGGTGAGGCTGAATCTGACAGCTAATTACATTATTGTACTGAGCCCCAGCCTTTGTGGTTATTTGCTGAGCTGGACACTGGCTAAAGCTTAGCCCAGAATTCCTGCTCTGTTTTCTGAGGCAATGCAGGGTCATCTGTTCTGGTGCCAGACTTCCCAGGAGGCTATAAAAGCCCCGGCAGTGGCCAGGCCTCGAATATGCTCTCGGGGGTTGGTGTCACTGGTAAGCATGCCCTCTTGTCTGCCTTGCCTTTTCCTCATGTTCTCATTCCCAATACAATTCGGGGGAGGCCTCGGTTTGAATCTAGCCACTGCCTCTTTCTGGTGCCTTGCCTTCTTTGCTGTTAAAAGAGGGGAGAACTTGGAAAACCTTCCTGTTTGAGGGGATTAGAGATTATGCTGGTCAGTGGTCTGTAACAGCTCCTGGTAAGCCTCTGGGGCCACTCGCCCAATGTTCTTTACTATTATTACTCAAGACCCTTTGGTGTTGTTAGTTGCCTTTGGTATGCTCAAATCCCCTGTGTATTTTGAATGTCTTGGTGGCATAGTGGAAGTGGGAGAACGATGGGGCTTTCTACTCCCTTGGAGTTAGTGTTAAAATTTTTTTTTAATTAAAAAAAAGAGTTAAAGACTTGGAAACCCACAGAAGGAGTACTGCCTTGTCCGATAGAGTCACTAAGAGTTGGTATGGGTGCAATTGCAGTAGGCTGAGTTTTGTTTGTTTGCTTGTTTGTTTTGCGTCCACATCAGACAATCTTCTCTTGAGATCCGAAGGTTTTCAGGGCTGATGTTTGGAAGGAGAGCACCAGGGCTTTCTTCCTAGTCTGTCTTAATCTGGAAGCTCCTTTGCAACCAGCCCACTGTGGGCAACATTGCAGGCATTTCAAATCCTGGAGGCCTCACTTCCAGCAGCCCGGGACCACACCATCCACATCCTTGTGTACCTGCCTGCTGAATTGAACTCAGAGAATTCACAGGTAGAAGGAATCGAACCTGAACAGTTCAGTTGCACATCAAGGGCAGTCAAATCTGACAGCTCTCTCCATGGTCATCCTTCATACCTGGGGAGAGGTGACTGCTGCCATGAGCTCAAAAGTTCCAGTTGCCGGGGATGTCAAAGCCACTGATGCCTAGTGGGAATAACGTGTGTTAAGGGCTTGCAGTACCACATTCTGTTTTATCAAGTTCTCACCACCTGCTTGCCAACACTACTGGGTGTTCTGACTGCCCCCAATCTACAGACAAGGAAACTGAGGCACACAGAGAGACTGGAACCCAGGCAGTGCCTTGCTGTTGGTAAGCCATTGTACTGCATCCTGAACTGGACTCACAGGGTTCCAGCTTTGTTCCAAGGATGCTGAGGGGGAGGCAGTTGGGTACTGGACCTTCAGGCACTGTGGCAGCCTCTGGGCTGGGTTTGGTGGGGGTAGAGAAGAGCAAGCTGGGCTCACAGCTGCTTCGCTGAGTTTCACCTTCTACTGTGGGGTCAGTATTGGGCTCTGCCAGAAAGGGTGGTGGTTGGCAGCCAGTCAAGGAGAAAGTTGAGGCAGCTGCTCTGTGAAGATCAGCACCTTGGCTTTCCCTGGGGGCAGTCTGACTCTGTCTTATGGGGTGGTGGTGAGGTGGAATTGACTCCATGGCAGTGAGTGTGGTTTGGGTGGCAACCCAGAGGTTAAAGCTCTCAACTGTGAACCTCAGGGTCAGTGGTTAGAAACTGTTCTCGGAAGACAGATGAGGCCATCTGTTTCTGTAAAGACTGACAATCTCTGACACCCCAGGGAGCTGTGCCCCTCTTGTCTGCAGGGTTGCTGTGGGTTTGCTGGACCCCACGGCAGTGGGTTTAATGTGAAAGAAGTTTCTGGAAACTCGATGTGGTCTCTGGAGCAGGAAACCAGGTCTCCTGTCTTGTCCCGGGGGAGCGTAACCTGACTTGACTGGTGTCTTGGGAGAAATGAGGGGAAGAGTTGGACATTTTCTGGAGCTTTCCATGCCATTCTTAAAACTTCAACCAGATTTATTCCTGTCGAGTCAATTCAGACTCAGGTGGGTTCTGTGTATGGAAATAAAAACTCCACAGGCTTGTCTTGGCTGTAATCTTTGTGAAAGTGATCGCCAGGCCTTTCTCCCCCAGTAATGCTAAACACCAAGTGTTGGTGACACCCAGCGACCCTGATATCTTCACCAGCTAAGCAATTCCCTCCCCTGATGCTCCTGACCATGCCTGGACACCCACCTTGGTCCCTTTGCTTTCTCATAATGTAGAATTCCACAGTAGGTACTTTCCCTATTGGGGCTGGGTAAGACTGACGTGGAGAGGAGAATTCTGGCTTCTGGGAAGGGTGAGAGGAGTGAGTGAAGGAGAATGGTTTGGGAAAGGGGCACAGGGGGATCTGGGAGATCCCAACCTGGCAGTCACCAGCCAGATGTGGCTAGGGCAGAGCTGTGGTTGGCTAAATTAATTTGCTTCTCATCAAGAAACTCCAAAAACAGAGAGTCCATTCTCTGGTCTGGCCCCAATGGACTCTGAGCTTGGCAGTTCAGACCCACCAGTCCCTCCTTGGGAGAAAGATGAGGCTATGTGCTCTGCTCTCATAAAGACCGACAACTTCGGAAACCCACAGGGGCAGTTTCTACTCTGTCCTCGGCAGCATTTCCCAAAGTGGGCAGTACTGCCTCCTGCTGTGGGATGCTGGGATAGCCAGGGCACCTGCAAAAGCCGATCGATCTCACACTACATCCTGGACAATGGGCTAAAGCACAAATATTTTTCATTAACAAGGGGGCGCTGAGTTGTCACTTTTTCTGAAAAGAGGTGGGGATTGGTCCAGTAAGTTTGGGGCCCAGTGTAGAGGCTTGCTATGAATTGGGATCAACTCAATGGCAGTAGGTGTGGGGGTGAGGGGGCCAGTTGGGACCCTGTGTAAGCTCTAATATAGCACCACTGATGTCCTGCACCTTTTGTTTTTCTGGGGCTGACCTGGATCTAAAAAAAGAAGAAAAAGGTAGGTGTTTAGTTGTTCAGACCTGTTCTAAGCTGAACTGAAACCTCGCTGAGGACAGAGTTTGGGGCTAAGCGGAGTGGTCCCAGCAGCCCCCTTGCATGCGCCCCCCCCCATCCCCCAGCCACCGCACCAGCAGGGTGAGAGAAGACCCTGATGGCAGGCCTCCACATCTTCCAGGTATTTCCTGCCCAGAAGTCCACCATGGCCTCGGACCACCAGACCCAAATAGGCAAGCAGCAGCCACCTCCCAACCCCAAGGTGCGTACAACAGCTCATCGCCCTCATTCTCGGTTTCCACTTGTGTATAATGGGTTTGGCATCTTCCTTCTCGGGGCACTCTCTGCTCCTGTCTGGGCTCAGTTTCCCCTTCCTGCTCCCGGGGGAGGGGGTACAGAATCTGAAGGCCTTGCCCTGACTGGACCACCTGAGTCCCCACACTAGCTTCCAGCATTAGAGCCTGCTCCGTGACTCACGGGGTCCCTACTTGCAGCCTCCAGTGAACAGGGTGTGCTATACAACAAGCTCCATACCCTCACATGAGGCTGTGACACTGGGACTGGACTTGCCACAATCTTCATAATATGGGGAGAGCCCTAGGGATTTTACCACAGGGATGGGAGACAAGGCAGAGAACTGGGGGTCACTTTATGCATGGCACATTAGCGTATGAGCCCCACACCAGCTTGGAAGTTCACCTTGCAATCTCACTTCCATGCCTGGTGTCCAGGCCAGGGGATAGGTACTCCCACCACCCAACTGGCTGCTCCCTGCAGCCACCTGCCTACTCGTTTGTAGGAGTCCTGGTCAGAGATCCACCCACAACCATCAACCTGTCCAGTCAAACTGGGCAGTCCCTCACCCTCTTGGGCTGTTTTTCTGGGGGACAGATGATAAAGCAGCAAGCAAACATGTGAGTTCGAATAGAGAAAAGGGCTCAGAGGAAACTTCAAGGAAGAAAGAGCCTTGGGAGAGTCTAGCAGATGAGGAACAGTGGTCAAGCAGGGTCTCCCGGAGGAAGGGACATTTAACGATTGATGTGGGTCCAGGGAGGCACTGTGTGACACTTGGTGGAGCTGTGTGGCACTTGGTGGAGGGGCTGGGGAGAGGCAGAACAGGACAAGGAAAAGCATATGCAAAGGCCCTGTAGCAAGTGTGAGGAACAGTAGGAAGGTCAGTGCAGGTGGCTTAGAGCCCTGCCCAGCAGAACTACAGGAGTAATTTGAAATGTTCTAGTAGCCACATTGGGAGAGAGACAGGGCTGTCTACTTCCATAAAGCATTACAGTCGCAGAAACTCACAGGGGCAGTTCTACCCTGTCCTATAGAGTTGCTATGAGTCAGCATCGCCTTGATGGCAGTGAGTTTGGTTTGGTTTGGTTTTGTTCGGCTTCCTAGTTAACTTGAGGGAAAACTATCACCTCCATGAAGCCAGGATAAAGTCAACAAATCTCTCAGTCCATGTTCTTGAGTCTTCGCAGTAGCCTTGCAAAAGAGATGGAAAGCCCATTTTACAGATGAGACCAATAGGGCCCAGAGGAATTCAGACACTTCCTGTGGTTGCCCAGCTGGATATAGCACAGGGGCATCTGAGGCTAGGGCTGTCTCCTGACTTGGTCTGCAGCTGGGTCACCGGCCACAACAATGCAACTGAACCTGTGGGATTTGTCTCTGCTTTTGTCCAGCCAATCCATGCTGACTCAGCCTCAGGCTGACCACATGGGCTCTGTGGCTGCCCATCTGGAGTGTTCAATCCAGAGACAAGTCCCTACAAAGAGTGGCTAGAAAACCTCTGCTCAATATTCTCACTGCATCCAGGAAAGATGCAGCTGGCCTCTCAGTTAGCACATGGCTGTGAGCTTGGGTGGGATGCTTCACTTTGGAGAGCGTTGTTTCCCATGGTGAGAATGCTGCCAGCCCCTAGATCAGGTGAGTCAAGGGGGACCAAGGCCCCTGGTATGTGTGGTTGTACAGGTGAAATGGGAATGAAGCATGTATATAAGAAGCCCTAGTTTGGTTCTTAGGGAAGCAGAAACATTTCAGGCCAGGTGACCTAGCACATTGGATCAGCATCATCAGCCTCACCTGAGAGCTGGTGAGAAATGCAGAATTGGGGGTTGCTCTCCAGTTCTGCTGCCCCAGAAACTGCATTCTACCAGATTCCCAGGTGCTCTGCATGCACATGAGGGTTTGAGAAGGTCTGTTGGAGTAGAAACAGCATCGGGCAGACCTGGGCTCCAATATCCTGCCACTTACCCTTCTAGGGGTCTGTGACATCTCTCTTCATTAATAGAATTGTCCCTCCCACATCCAGAAACACTAGGATATGCTAGCTACCGTCCCCCAGGTCCTTCTAACTGTCCCATGAGACCGGTACTGCCTCAATGCCTTATTCTACAGATGGGAAAGTCTCATGGCGGGGACATGGCTTCATGTTGGGGTGGTAACTCTGAAGGCAGAGTCTGGTAACATCCTTGGGGCTCCCCAGCCTTGACACTGCCCACTCTCACTGTCCCTGCCATGAGGGGTTAATGCTCTCCTCCTGTTGCAGATCACCGTCTTTGAACAGGAAAACTTCCAGGGCCACTCTCATGAGCTCACTGGGGCCTGTTCCAACCTGAGAGATACTGGCATAGAGAAGGCGGGCTCCATTCTGGTGCAGGCTGGACCGTATGTACTGGGGAACTGAGTGGGGGTGGGGGTGGGGGTATGTCCTCACGCTGCTGCTAGACTGTGCCTCCAGGGGACCAGGAATGGTGACAGACAGCCTCTGAAGAGAACCTGTGCTTTGGGAACCAAACTACTGTATTGCTGTTGTTGGGTTCTAATTCACAGTGACCATATACAGAAAAACAGGTCCTGTGTCGCCTTCACCACCGTTGTTACATTCGGACCATTGCTAGAGCCGCTCTATCAATCCAGCTCACGAAGGACCTGCCTCTTTGGGCTGCCCCTCTATTTTATCAGGCAGGACGTCTTTCTCCAGTGACTAGTCTCTTCTGATCACATACCTTAAAGTATGTGAGATGAAGTCTCACCATACTGGCTTCTCCAGAGCACTCTGACTGTACTTCTTCCCAGACTGATTTGTTTGTTCCTCTGATGGTAATTTCAGTATTCTTTGTCAACACCATGACTGAAAGGCTCTTCTGCAGTCTTCCTTTTTCATGGTTCACCACCTGGCTGTCAGTTTGTCATACCATCGTGATTGTGAGTTGCTGTAAAGTTGCAAGCTAGGCCACCAGCACTTCAAACACTAGGCAGGTGGAGAGTCACCCATGGTGGGGCCATTTTCGGAGGAGCTTCCAGATAAAGAGGCTCAGAAGAAGGACTTGGTAGTCCACTTGTGAAGGATTATCCACTGAAACCTTATGAAGAGCAGTGGAAGTCAGACCCCTCTGGGTTCAAGTCCTGCTTCTGCTCTTGGTGGCTGTGTGATGGCAGATGTGCCTCAGTTTCCTCCCATGCAGGAAGAGGTTAACTCCACCCTCCTGAGGATGATGGGAGAGAGCTTGTGGACTTACAGCATGAGAATTAGAGTTCTGTATTTTCTGGGGATGGTATTTGGGGGAAGTGGGTTAAGCACTTCATTGCTGATTGCAATGTTGGCTGTTTGAACCCACCAGCCACTCAGTGGAAGAAAGATGAGGCTATGTGTCTCCATTACAATTGACAGACTCGGAAACTCTATGGCAGCAGTTGAAAACAACAAAGCAAAAATTTATTTTGACACCTGGTGACCCTGTAGCACAGGATCGAACTGCCCTTGTGAATTTCTGAGATTGTACCTTATTGTGGGAGTAGAAAACCTTATCTTTCTTCCATGGAGCAGCTGGTGGTTCAAACAGCTGACCTTGTGGTTAGCAGCCCAACATGTAACCACTATGCCACCAAGGCCCTGTCCTAGAGGGTCGCTATGATTAGCATTAACTTCACAAAAACAGGATGTACCCTTGAAGGGAGCAGCACTGGCAGAGTACCAATGTGCTTGGCTGCAAACGAAGCAGCCAAGTGGGTCAGTGGTTCAAACCCACCAACCTGTCTGTGGGAGAAAGATGAAGCATTCTGCTCCCATAAAGACTGATAGCCTTAGAAACCTATAGGGCAGTTCTACTCTGTCCTAGGGGCACTATGAATTGACTGATGACCACTCATTAATAATGGGTTTGGTTTATTACTATTATTATTTAATGTTTCCTTGTTGAGATAAGATCCCTGGTGGCATAGTGGTTACCCATTGGGCTGCGATTGTCAAGGTCTGCAGTTTGAAACTACCAGCCTCTCTAGGGAGAAAGACAGGACTTTCTACTCCCAGAAAGAGTTACACTCTAGGAAACTCACAGGGGAAGTTCTACCCTGTCCTATAGGGTCACTATGGGTCAGCATCAACTCGATGGCAGGGAGTGAGTGAGTTGTTAGGGTGGACTGGAGTGAATCCTGGCTGAAGGGGGTTTGGAACTCCTTTGACCTCTCTGTCTTCCTCTGTCTCTGTCTGTGTGTCTCGGTCACAGCTGGGTGGGCTATGAACAAGCCAACTGCAAGGGTGAGCAGTTTGTGTTTGAGAAGGGTGAGTACCCTCGCTGGGACTCATGGACCAGCAGTCGCAGGACAGACTCCCTCAGCTCACTGAGACCCATCAAAGTGGTGAGTCCTCTCCCCTCCCACTACCCTCCTTTCTTCACCTTCCTGATGTCAGAGGCCCAGGGCCCAGGAAGGAGCCACCCTGTCTGACAGGGCACCCCTTCTGGTTGATGGTGGTGGTGGAGCCTTTCCTGCAAAAGTCTTTCCTGTGTTTCCTCATCTGTAAAATGGAGATAGCATATATTATATCTGTTATTAAGGTGCTCTGGTGGCATAGTAAGTTATGCATTTGGCTGATAGCTGAAAAGTCAACAGTTTGAATTCACCAGCCACTGCTTGCGAGAAAGTGAAACTGTTAGCTCCCATAAAGACAGATCATCTAGGGAACTTGAGAGAACAGTTCTACTCTGACTCATAGGGTCTCTGTGAGTTGGAATCAGCATGACGGCAGTGGGTTTGGGGCTGATCTGGAGAAACCTTGGTGGTGCAAAGGGTTAAGTGCTTGACTGCTAACGGGGTAAGCTTTTGGAACCCACCAGCTGCTCCTTGGGAGAAAGTTGAGGTGGTCTGTTCCTTTAAAGATGGACATCCTCAAGAAACTGAGGGAGCAGTTCTACGTTGTCCCATAGTGGCCCTGTGAGTCAAAATCAACTTGATGGCAATGGGTTGCGTGCTAAGATGTCCACATGCTATGCTCAAGGCTGGTGCCTTGCACCCTTCTAACCCAACAGTTGCTGTTGAATTGTTTCCGACTCACAAGGAACCCCTGGGATGGTGCAAGACAGGGCTTTCATGGCTCAGTGTCTGGAAACAGGTCAGCAGGCTCTTCTTCTGAGGTGCACCTGGGTGATCACCAGCCACTCACTGTTTGGTGAGCTGCTTGGATACCCTCACCATTTGTACCACCCAGGGGACTCATGGGAGTTAACACAAGACCTTTGTCAGAGGAGGCGTGGAGGCTGTAGGTGCAGTGATGTTTCAGGGTCTTGTCCATAGTGTAACTTCTGGGAGTGTGTGCTGCATGCACGTGTCCCCACAGTGACCCCACGCGGGGCCACAGTTCATGGAGCTTATCACAGACCATGGGTGGTAAGCGAATTGGGTGGGGCGTAGAGTGGGAAGACCCAGTCACCTGAGCTCCCTGCTCATTCCCAGGTCCCTCTCCATGCACAGGACAGCCAAGAACACAGGATCATCCTCTACGAGAACCCCAATTTCACAGGGAAGAAGATGGAGATCATTGACGATGACGTGCCCAGCTTCCACGCACATGGCTATCAGGAGAAGGTGTCCTCCATCCGTGTGCAGACTGGCACGTGAGTGCAATCCTACCCCTATTCATTCTGCCCCGGGCCCATGGACACTGGACCCTCTATCCTGCTTTTCCAGGAATCACTGCTCCCTCCATGCCCCCAATCCCCGTGTGCTATCACACTTGCAAAAATCACCCTTCCCAACCTCAGCCTATGAGTGGCTTTCGGCCCTGCCATTTATGCCCTTTTCTTGCCTGTTGGGCAGGTCAAATCCCTGGGCCTCCCCTGTAGCCACCCAGAACAGGGCAGTCCATGGGGGAGCAGGAGTGGGTGGCAGGCAGAGGCGGAGCCAGGGGAAGGTTGGGAATGGGTCACAGGAAGGGCGGCCATGAAGCCTTGTGCTGTACAAGACACTGACCCTAGAAACAAGAGCATCCTTTTGGTCCACAGACCTTGCTCGGGATGCCACAGACAGCGTCTGGACAGGGCCATGCTGTTGCTGACCTTCACAGCTTGCAAAAGAGGAATGCTAATTAGGCCTTCAGAATTTGTATGCACTGGCTGTTCACATCATTGGCCTCTTGAAATCAGCTATCATGGGAGAATTTATCCTACAAGAATTGTCAAGCACTACAGGGCCTTCCTCTGCTTTTTTGGGTTGTTTTTAAAGAGAAAGATCCTAGAGGGAGTAGGGTGTGCTCTGTTCAGTCCTTCTTCTGTCTGTCTGTCTCTCCATGTTCCCTCACCTCACCTCTGGCCCTACAGGTGGGTTGGTTATCAGTACCCTGGATACCGTGGGCTGCAGTACCTGCTGGAAAAGGGGGACTACAAGGATAGCGGTGACTTCGGGGCCCCCCACTCCCAAGTGCAGTCCATACGACGCATCCGGGATATGCAGTGGCACCAACGGGGCACCTTCCACTCTTCCAACTAGCACACTAAACGCCCCATGCCTCACGCCCCTTCCCAGGCCCTTCCCAGAGCCCAGGCTACTGTGGGGATTCCTCCCTGGCCTTCCCAGTGAGTGAATAAAGTGTGACTTGCAACCAGTCTCCGGAGTGCATTTTATTCCCAGAGAGAGAGAGAGACAGAGAGAGAGAGAGAGAGAGAGAGAGAGAGAGAGAGAGAGAGAGAGAGAG